TCTGGCTCCAAGAGATTTGGAGAGATTAAGGTGCTCTTAGTCCCTTGAAGATTAATGTAGAGATCAAGGTGCTCTTCCCTTGTCAAAACAGTTCTTCCCTGTATCATGCCACAGACTTATCCCTCAGTCATCTAAAAGCTGTACATGTTACTCCCTCCCGGGCTCCAGTCTCGGGCAAACCAGGCAGTCTCCCTGGTGAGAAATCTATCCACAGAGCAAAGGATGAGTTCTTCCAGGGTCTACATCCCACAGAGAACATGCTGGATTTTGGTCTCTTTCCTCAATACATTATGACAAAGTTATTCTAGGAGACCTTGTGTCCTTACACTCCTTACCTTATGCCACCCCACTTTGCCCCAGTGCACTCAGTACAAGAAGTCTGGCACAGCATAAAGCATCTTGTGCATTATTTGCCTTTCTTTCCTTGAAGTAAAGGCAGATGAGTGATGAAAGGTTACTGGGGCACCAGAAGAGACCAAAGCTCAGGTCTGTCTGTGTCTCACCAGGGGTCTTGCTGCTGGATATCATCTACTGGCAGCAGCAATAGAAGGTGAAAGCAGTTCAGCATGGCAACAAATGTAGTGCCCAGTGCAGCCACTTTAAATTCAAGAAATTCCAGGTTGTCTACGTCATGCTGAAAAGCACCATGGTTTGCCACAGCATAGACAAGGGGATAGACCAGGATTTGCCCTGTAAGGCTCTCCCAGAGTCCCTGGCATGGTGCACCTCCCTTCCAATAGTCCCTGCCTCCTCCACAGTCGTGGGCTGGAGCCAAGGATACAGGAGCAGTATCCCCTTGGGCCATGACATTCCCACAGCTTCTGACACCACAGGAGTACCACCCAGCTCATCGTCTCACTTTGTGTGTGTGGGAAGGAAATGTACTTACAGGACATGCACCATAAGGCAGAAGGAGGATTTCAGCAGCAGAGAGGTGGGAGGTCACGGTAGGGACACAACGGCTGGAGGTGGGGAAGCATCCGGCACCCTCCCACTCCTTCCCATCACATGTCATCCCCTGGCAAGGGGCAGCTCGAGGAGCTGGCCCCCATCTCCCATCTGGTGACAAACCCAGTCTAAGTGGGTAACATTTCCACATAGCGACCAGCTACATCCTACTTCTGCTTATTGGTTGTCAGTTGTGCAAGAGTAGTGACTGACCTGAAAAGCCCCTCCTGACACATATCCATACCTGACCTGTGGCAAAGCCCTCCCACAATCCTTGTGTAAAGGGAGTAGATGGTTCTTCTTCCAAAGCAGTGCTGGTCATGCGAAGATGAGCCCTCCATCCTCTGCCTTCTCTCCAGCACTGCTGTTCTCAGCAACCACTTGAATTTATTGGATCCCCTGAGTCGATCCTGGTGTAGTAGAAGTTTCCGCACCACCAGCACTCCCTGCTTTCACTGTTCCCCTTGCCCAGTGCAGGCCATGGCTTGGCCAAAGCAGACATTCCCCATTGCTCCCTGTGCAGCCCTGACAGCTGGAGCGAGCCAAGTGCTGGAGGGTGCAGGACAGCCACAGCAAAGCACAACGGGGAACCCCCACTGAGTACGTGCCAGCGACACACAGCCACAGCATCAAGAAGGAAGGATGAAATGCCAACCTGGAAAGTCACAACTGGTGCTGAGAGTGCTCAGCACCATTTACAGTCTATCTGTGCTGCATCTCTGTACACATGATGTCTCTGGTGGGAGACTCCACAGATAACTTAGCAAAACACTGAGAAGGACGGATATTACAAGATCAAGAGGAGCAAATATCACGTGCTGATTCCCCCTCTCCTCCTAGCTGAAGGATGCTTTGTGCTTTGCCTTTCTAAGGGGAATCTCGCAGGATTCAGCTGGAAACAGCGCAGACAAAATGTTAACCATTCTGAGCACAGGGAACAAAAAGCACTTTGAAAACTCCTAGAAAATGTGTGGTCTTTAAATGCTCAATTATTTTTTCTCCATACTGACTGCAAGCTTAAAAACTAAAAGCACAGCCATTATCAAATGTAGACAAGGAATGAATTAAGATGCAATATGCCAAGTATCTTCCGTGCTAAAGACAAAAATACCTGTAATACCATCCTTGTGTGTACTACGTTATCCTCACTATATATGTGATTCAGCTTACTTGTCCTCAGACAAAATGCCTTCATACATATCATGCACAAGCATGCAGAAAGAACAAAAAGCACTGCAGGAAGAAGAGAAAACTCAGCAGCAGAGAGACGGCATGCCCCAGTGACAAGCTGTTTCTTTGGATGTCTAATTCCTGTCACTCTTTCTTCTCTTTAAAACTAACTCTAAGTCCCATATATTTAAGTCCATGGTAAAACATCTCCCCTCTTTAAATACTGTTAAACGACAGAGGTGAGCTGGATTGGTAACCCCTGCAGATTTCTCTAATCAGTAAAAACTAGTCAAGGATCACAGGCTGGGACACGTCTGACATGAGGAGAGGCATTTACCCAACAGTCAGGGCTGAGAGCTCAGCTGGGAGCAAACAGGAGCTGCAGGAGAAATTTGAAGAGTGCCATGACCGACAGCCGAGCAGAACTGCCCCTGCCCGCCCTGGCCCGGCTCCATTCACAGGAAAGATGAGACTGCTGTGGTCACCGAAGGTCACCTCTCCCTGTGCCGCAGCCAGGGGATGGCTGGGAAACACTCCAGGCAGGAGCACCCTGCGTGGTGTGGCACAGCCAAGGGTGGCTGGGTGGCCAGAGCCCAGCGCTGGCACGGGGGGTCTGCAGACCAACCAGATCTTTCAGAATAAACAGAATAAACCCAGGTTTATTCTGGCTGCTCTGAAGCTGCCTTGCTGAGCCTTTTGGGGGGAGTCACCTCCTGCCAAAGAAAAGGCACAGCACCTGCTAGATGCTGTGGATTCCTCTCCACTCTGGAGAGGAAAAAGAAATTTCTCCTTCCTTTCTTGGGATTTTTAAGAACAAATTCTCAGCTTGGCTTCATGAGCCAGGTGCAGACCATGAACCCATCTCATCTCAAGAGCCCAGCCCTCACTGAGGGTCCAGCTACTCATCCTCTTATAGCCAAAGGTTTGCAGGTCACCCACCACTGGGCCAACAAAAGCTCTTACAAGCTGTTTCAACTCAGAACTGACTCCACTGGAATTCCTTGGAAAATAAAAGTAAATTTCAGGGAGTTTGCTGGTTTACAGATTGGGAATATCTGTCTGCTTATAAGGCACATGCCTTGAATATATATTAAGCAGTTTGTGACACTCACAATTAAGAGAAAATTAACTTTGACACTCATGGTCAAAATATTTTTTAGTACTCTGCCCTAGAATAAGCAACTGCAACCCCAGGGAAAAAAAAATCACATCTCTATATGGCCTTTCCACAGAAATACGAGTTTTCTTTCCACTGATCTTAGCAGCACCTTCCTGTCCATTCTGGTTTTTAAATTTATGACAAATGGAGCCACACCTGCCCTGAAATCCGTTCTGGGTGCTGTAAAAACACAGAGTAGTCCTTGTCCTCAAGGTTTTACAGCCTAAATGAAAACAATGAATTAGAGAAGGAAGCAGAGTCAGTCACTAGCCTAAGGTTATCAAGGAGTTATGTGGCTTGGCTCAGGTTAGAGCACACGTCCTTTCGTGCTTTATCAACTCTTTTGTCCCATCTCCCTAAACCATACTGGGTTGCACTATTTCGTGCTTTCTCCTTCACATTTTCTATTTCCCTGGTCTATTCCCTCTCCAGTCTGCTGGCAAGGATCCATCCCTGCTGCTATCTTCAGTCATTCTCACTAAATTATACATTCTGCTCAGAGCGTGACTTTTAGCTTTCTAGAGTATCAAGAGCTGTACTGGACTACTGTAATAGGAAGATTTCTAGCGGTGTTATCAAAGTGCAAGTGGTGAGCACTGGATGAATGATGCACACAGACTTTGAGATGATAAATTATTTTTCTTTCTTTGATATTATTTTGTAATAGCACATATCTGAAATGTTTTTCATGGGGAGATGAGGGAAACCAAACCTTGTTGCTCTCTCACTAAAAAATGAGTAAGTTTCCACCCTGTTTCTCTACCCAGGAAAAAAGGAGAAGTTTCTGCACATCAGTGTATGTAGATGTATAAATCAATGAAAGTTTCAGTTTTAATAAGAACTGTGTTTACCCAGGAAAAAAATTTCCAATTTCAACAATCTGGAGAAGTCTACATGGCAACATCTCCACTGACAGCTCCTGCCAAGGCCAGTGGATGGAGGGTGGCTGCTGCTGTGTGGCAGGGAGCAAGCATGCAAGTAGCCTGCCCTGGGAGAAGGGAGTCCCTTCCAGCTGGACATCAGCTGCCCTCTGAGCTTGTCTCTCCTAAATCAGTTGCTGAGCAGCTCCTGAGGTTGCCGGTAGGCAGCGGGCCCTTTAGCAGCTATCAATAAAATAAGATGACATAATTTTTTCCCAAGTGCAATAAAGTCACAGCTTTTCCAAGCAATGATAAGAGGCTCCTGCGAAAGCGCTATCAGAATGACTTTGGAGAAGATGAGCCCCACAGCATCTGAACACCCTGGTTTAGGCCTAACCCTGGACTGTTTGGTGCAAAACGTACATCGAGCAACCTGCAGCCCATGCAAATTCCGCTGAAATGTAGGAATGAAACAGTGTTTCGGAGAACCAGACCCCTTCTTGGGGTCACTGTGATACCCTCGCTTTCCCTAGAAGCCTCCTCCTTTTGTCCCGGGGCTGTGCTGAAACTGCGGGGCTGGGGGACACCGCACACCGCCCGCTCACCTCTGCCGCTCGCTCTCGCTCTCCCCCTGCTTCTCACTTTCGCTCCCATTGGTTTCATGTTCCCTTTGCCATGCGGAAAAACTTTCAGACTCCTCCAGCCCAGCAGCGGGGTTTATCCTGGTTCCACCCACTGGGACTTTCCTAGCTTCCTTCTGCACAGTGAGGGGGAAAAAAAGGCAGACGGAGCCATGCGGCAGGCACCTCGGGGAGCCCAGGGAGCCGTGGGGCTCTCTTTCCCTGAGCTAGGTTTCTATTGTAGGCGGTGCATTCCTTGGGAGGGAGGGTGTGTGTGTGTCGGTGCCTTCCCACACTCGGGGCAGCTCTTATTTAATGGGGGTCTCCATGCAGGGCAGACACCAGAAGAGATTTTGCCTTTCCCAGTCCCCATCCAGGAACGAGAGCGGCTCACACGCCAGACGCCGGCATGGCCGAGATAAGGCTGGAGGAGGCGGCTCCTGGGAGCAGCCAAGCCTCCAGGATGCACCTCCGGGAGGATCTGAGGAGGATACGGTGCGCGGTGCTGCTGTGCCTGCTCTCCGTGCTGGTCCTCATGCTGCCCACTGCCTATCTGCTGGTCGGAAACCTCCGAGCCCCCAGCTCCTGCGCCGGCCAGGTAAGAGACCGACTTCTGTCCTGCCACCCTGCGAGGAGGAGAGCGCCACGTCCCGCAGCTCCAGGGTTGGGTTGGGTTGGCTCTTTTATTCTCTTCATGAGTTTCTCATGTTTAAGGGAATGTGAGGAACTCACTGTTACCTTCCGTCTTCCTTATGCAGAGCTGGGATAAAGCTTATCATTGTTTGCTCTTTTTAGCTAACAGTTTCTGTTCCTCTCACCTTAATTTCACTAAGGTCGATGTACAACTTTAAAACTTTTATTAACATGCTTCAGAAAACACTTCAGAAAAATCACTAGCTGTTGGAAATCAGTGTCTCTCCACTGACTTCAGCCACATTTTGACACTATGACTCATTTTCCTCCCTTCTTTCGGGTTAACTCTGAAGCTCCCCCTCCCAGTGTCCTGTTTCATCAAACATCTGCTGACCACACTGCTGATGTCAGTGGGTCAGTGCCCATCATCCGTCACTGGGCAGACAGCTACAGCTCTCCTGTATTATTAATGGAAATTCCTGCAGAGATATGGATCGAGACAATTAAGGAGACCGACCCTAAATTTTGCATCCTATTATTTACTCCCCATCAAAATTTTCTCCAGATCTAAGGATCTTCTCAGCTTTTCTCCTTTGACAGCTGGATAAACTCACTGTGCTCCTAGCAGCACAAGCTTGCTGGTGTGGCTGTTTCTATTGCTCTTCTATGCCTCCCCATTCCTCCCTGTGCCAGACCGCAAACAGGTGCCTATTCCCTGCTAGAAGGATGTATGTATGCATATAGGTCTGAAGAATTAAGGTTTTAATTTTAGCTTCAGGTCTGAAATTCACTTAGGAACAGCCAAAGAAAGCAGTGTTAGTAAGCCGCCTCAAAGGCAGATTTCTAGCCTTGCACACATTCAGCCTATGGATGTTTATGGAGTGTGACAGCTGTGCCCGTGGCTCTGTGTGTGCAGGCTCCTGGCTGCACAGAGATGTGCGAGGGCCCATTTGACCTCACGTCTGCACAGCTGACATCTGGCACCCATAACGATGCTGGCTTCTGGGTGCAGCATCCTCTGCGTTACCTGGTTGCACCTTTGTGCATAGCTGAAAAGAGATGCAGCAGCTCTGCACAGCACCTCAGCCTCTTCTATCTGCCCATTTCTTGCACACGTGAAAGTGCATGTTACTGTGCTGACCCTGTTACTGCTATTTAGGCCAGCCAGTGCAGTTGGACATGGAGGGAAGAGGCTTTTTGTTCACGTCCTGTGAGGCTGTAACAGAGCAGAACGGTGAAGTTCTTGAAACAATCTTGGAGTGAGATAAGAATACAATGTTAGTCTGTTTGTTTGGACTAATACATTCCTGGCTCTTGACCCTGTTTGTAGAGGTAGTGGAGAAAAGATTTTTTGGGGAGGGGGTTTGGCTTCTTAAGAGGAAGAGCGCAATGGAAACCATTAGATTTGCCCTAGCCTGGGCTACGCTAGTGTGTATTTCCATGCATATGCAGAGAATAATTAGTGCGTAGTATTCCCACAATGATGCAATGAGCTGATCAGATGAGTTACAGCCTCTGCGAGTCTCAGTGAGGAAGAGAAAAATCATCAGGGCTGGCCGGTTGCCCGCTGCCTTTGTGCCAAGCCCAGTGGGTGGAGCGCCCAGCTACAGTTCAACTGGATCCTGCATTTTCTCAATTTTTTCATTCACTCATCTGGTGACTGACTGTACTGCCAGTGGTGTCCAGCAAACAGAGCACAGACAGGTGGATTTGGCTGCCCGTGTAGCTTTCTGTTAATTCCCCAGAGAGCTGTGTCATGGGCTGAGCCCAGGAGCTCAGTCCTGTGGCTCAGCATGGCTGTAGGCTGTTTCAGTCCATGGGAATATTTCTGGGCGTAGAGGCTCTCAGCAAAATGTTTTAATGAATTTCCTTCTGCATTTGAAGTGTTAGAACTAGATTGCTAAAGGATGCTTTCCATATGTGCCCCACTGACAGCCTCAATCAGGACTAGGTTGGGACCAGAAGTGTGTGCCAGGGGTCCCTGTGGCACTGGTTTTGGGGTGCAGATGCCCTGGGCATACTGGGTGCATGTGGGCAGACCCGAGTTCGTGCCAGATGTGCATTCACTTGCTGACTCTTGCAGCAGCGAGCCCATGGGAGGAGCTCTCTCCTTGCCCCATGACCAGAGCTTAGCCCACACACCACAGATTATCAATTTCTTGTGCGCTGGGGACAGTCCTGGGAGGAGGGAGGGACTTGACAGCTGAGCAGGTGAGAAGCAGATGTAGTAAATTCCTGAGCCTGTCCTTCCTGGAGCAAGGGGGAGAAGGGGAACTGGGGAAGGTTTGTGCAACAGGGGTGTGCCTCTTCCATTTGCCGGCGGGGTGAGGCAGTTTATTCATCTCTGCTTCTGAGTGGGTGCACATGGTGTCACATTCTGCCTCTGAAGGGATACAAACTCACCTTTTCTGCTGGAAATGTCCCTTTCAGGAAAAAGCAGGGCAAGTTAAGTCATTACAGGAACCTGTATGAGCCACTGGTTCTCTCTCTCTCATGGTATAATGCATCTTGCATGAATAATTCAAGTCTGATAATAGTTTCCCTGGACACCTTCCAGGCTCACTACACTGCTTCCCTTTTGGAACTAGAAATCACTTTCTTTTGTGCATCAAGACACAGTGAGGAGAGGAAATAGAGTTCTTTAAGCAATAATACATGACTTGTATTATTAGTAGGAAATCTATAAAAGGCTCTAGTTGTGCCCTTCCAGAGGAAGGTCCAGGACTGCTGTGCATCCTTCCACAAAAGGAAGCCAAGTTTCAGTTTGAGTGTGCAAATCTACCAAGGGAACAGCACAGCAGCCAGCAAAGCATCTCTGGCTACCTTAGCAATCCACTCAGCTAGCCCAATACAGCAAAGCATCAAGTCCTGTGGCCTGGAGATATGGATACTTGGAGCTTATTTTTGTGACATTTTTGGCATGACAGGACCACAGGCATCAGAAAGCGAAATTCCAACCATGTCCACAGGATTGAAGATGAACCTGTGTGCCTTGCAATGGAGAAGCGAGGTGCTGCATTACAGAAAGGACTTTAAAGTCTAGCAGCTCCACCTGGACCCTGTCCAAAAGGCTGAAGCCAGAAAGGTAGCAGCAAAGCTCAGATAAGGACTGCCAGAACATGCAAACATGCAACATCAGAAGCCCTAATGGCCTGCCCAAATGGGAAAGAGAACCTGAAATGGCTTCCTGATCTTTAGGAAAGGAGAACTGGTCAGGGAGGAGCAGTGAGCATTGCACCTAGGTCCAGGTGTGGGGGATTCCCCTTCCAAAGGCCAGCAGCAGTAAAACTCCTGACTGGCCATTGCTGCTTGATGCACATGGTCCTCATGGGCAAAGAAGGCAGTGAGCACATGCCCTGGCTTAATGCTTACGCTGGGCTCTATAGTCCAGTGGAAATACTCGCACTGAGACCAGTTTTTACTGTCACAGGGCAGGTCCTTATCAAAAATGCTCAGCCCAGGCCATGCAGCATCTCTGGAGCAAGCAAAATTGTGGGTGTATGAACTGTATATAACCTGCAGAGACTCTGCCTGTAAAATAACATTTTGTGCTAAAAATGGAGTAGATGGAGGTGCTGGAGATATTTTGCTTTTTGATCTCTCTGCCTGCAGTGCCAAGCTGCTTGTCCCATACAGTTCTCTATCAGATAGCCCCGGCCCTTCCTGGAGGTACAAGAGACAAAGCTTGTGAACAGGGGACGTTCAGCCCTTCTTTTTGGCTTTAGCAATATATGATAAATGCAGTGGAGTTTTTGGACATTCTTGGTATCAAAACAATATAGAAGTGGTTTGCATACTGCAGTCTTCAGGGTAATTAGAGCTGGCTGTCTGAGACATTGTTTGTCTGCAAGTCAGCTGTAAGGTGGGACTTTCAACATCACTCAGTGCTGGTTACAGGCTCACCACGGTAACCAGAGGGAAAATTGAAGCCATGCTGGGAACTTTTCAGAATCACAGCTAAGCAAGAAAGGAAAAGAGAAAAACACTAATTGTGTAAATGCTCTCTATTGTCTCACGCTGCTTAGGTCTCCCTCACAACCTCATCTACACCATCAGTGTACAACAGCTGTGCCTGTTTAGGACAGTATTACTAATACCTGGCCATTAGGTATCATAAATACGTTTTACTAAAATATTTTCTATAAAAGGTTTAGATTTGTATCTTTATTAAACAGCATAATTATGGAAAAAAAATCTCCTACCTTTGTCAAGCAACAGAATAATTTCACACCTTGCAGCACCCTGCTCTACCTACTGCACCACACTGTCCTTTAGCACTTATAAATGCAGCTCCTGCGCCTGGCGTTTCCATCTGGCCTTCTTTGGAAACAAGTAAATTGAGATTGCATTAAAAGCTTCTTCCCAGGTTTTAGTCAAAACTGTTTTGCTGCTTTTTATAAAGAAGCAGAATTCTTCTTGATATCTGTATTGCAACATCCGAGTTTATATAAAGTACTTCAGCAGAAGTAGGCTTTAAATATGTAAACAGTCCTACTGAAGTTACATGATTAAATCTAGGTCTGTGATTGATTTGTAGTTCATTGCAGTACTTAGCATCGTTAGAAAATATGTCACTTGATAAATATGTAGGAAGTGTCACATTAATAATGGTGTAAAATATACTCTTATGCATACACATCTGGCCAGAAGCAAGGGGGAGTGTTTGAGGGAAATCCTCCACACCAACCTTGTGCTTCCTACCAGGGGAAGGACAAAGCTACCTGGCTACGGCTCTGTGTCACATCAAAAGTACAGTCATGTTTAGACAACACAGCAAGCAGACGGGGCCTTGGAGAAAGTCATTAGTCATAATGAAAGGCCCAGACATCTCATTGACAGCGCCACACCATTTCTCTCTGTCAGCCACACACTGAGCTTTCGCACCACCATCTCTTCTAGATGACATTTCCCGCAGAGCAACAGACTGCTATGGCTGGGCTAGATATGTACAGGTGGGGAAGGGAGGGAAAAAAGGAGAACTTTCCCTGCAGTTTTCCTTCTCCATTTTGGCTTTCTAACACACTGGAGCAACTATTTTAGATATTATGTTTTTTTGCAGGAGCATATGGATGTTTACTGATAGTAAAACATTAAAATATCTTTGGGCTCATCTTTGAGTTGCTAGCAGTCCTCAAACCCAGGCAGCCTGGCTCTTCTCCCACAAACACCCTCCTCCCCCAGCCAATATAAATCACCTGTTTTTTACTTCTCCTTCAGTATTTGAAGTTGGGTGAGACACAGCCACTAGGAGATAGCTTCAGCATCTATGTGCTAATACTATTTCAGCCTGTTTATTAAGCAATGTGCATAAAATCCTTAGCTGCAAGCTGATCAGCAGCAGTTTATTCGATGTATTTATTGTAGCTGTCCATAAAACACACCAGACCAGACCAGCATATTCCTGAAAAACATTGCGTGACAGGGGTTCCTGACAGCCCTGATAGTCAGCCCTAAGCTGGCTGCATAACACAGACTGTTTTCTGCAGCCACGCTGTTGGCATCGACCTGCAATGAACTGTGTCCTGGGGGCAGCGTAAGGGATGCTCCTCACAGCCCAGGGAGGCCAGGTCCAGAGTCAGCATCCCACAGCACCCTCTGATGAGGAGCCATGCTGCTTTGCAGGCTGCCATAAGAGGACTGGCCCTTGGCAAGAAGGCAGCAGCCGTGCGCAAGTGTGATTCAGAAGGACCAGCCCCGGTAGGCAAGTGGCGGGCAGACAGCAGCTTCCCTTTGAACTGCTCAACGTAAACATCAGAGAGGTTTGGCACAGCCCAGGGCCATGCCCTGCTGCCATGCAAATGCAGGTTGGCACAGGGATGTGTTATGAGTGTGCTGGTTTGCGTCTCTAGAAGAAAACGTAAGAGGTGAGGCAACACAAATCACCCTGCCTGCCCACGGTGGTGTCAGCCTGCCGCAGAGCTCACCCTCTGCCAGCTGCGCTCTCAGACCTTTATGTTGTCCAAGGAGGATACCCCGTATTCAAGACAGACCTAAGCAACAGACTTACAGTCTGAAATAACACAGATGCAGAAACAAAAGCAGGTGTAGACGATATACCTCAGTTAGTCTCTTCGTTATGAATGAAACTTTGTGCCTGCAAAGGCTGAGACCTGCTGAGCCTTGAGAGAGGGAAGAATCACTCACATCGCTCTGTTTGCTCTGCAGAGACTGCGGGACAGGAGGGTCCCTGAGCAGTAGAGGTGCCCTAGCAGTGCTGGATGGAAGCACCATCCCAAAGGAGGATCAGCAATGGCTAATTCACATCGGCCACTCTGCCAGCCCTCTCCCAGATATGCCAAAGGCTTGTCCCGCCTCTGAACAAGGCTGAAGTTTAACACAACCACCACCACAGGAGCCCAGGTCCTGTCCCTGGCACCCTCTCAGAGACACAGGCGGTTTCAAATAAACAGCAGAAAACTCTTGCAATGAAGCAAAGCCTTGTCAGGGCTTGTTGTCCTTTTACATAAAAGCTCTAGCTGAACTTGATAGTATTACTGTAGCATGTTCCATTTTCTGGGATAAAGCAAACAAGACCCTTTGTGGAGGTACTGTACCCCCTGGAGCCCTGAGCTAACCGCTTGTAAATCTCTCCTGCAGGTCACAGAAGAGAGGGGCTCTCACTTTCTGAAGCAACGGGCAGTACATACTGGTAAGTTTGCAAGTGCTTTCCCCATCCCAAACACCTTTGTTTACCAAGATTTTGCAATCACTGCCACAGCACGCTGCTGGCAGATGCCTCCCCACCTGCCCTCTGCTCTCACCACCCAGATCCCTCCCGAGCCGAACAAGCCAGGGCAGACAGAGGCAAACCTGGGTGACAAGATGCAGGGAGATAACTGGGGCCATAGCAAAAGTGTGAGCATTTCTAATCCCAGGGCTGTGCAAGCTCACTCCTTCCAGGGCAGGCACAGACCTCCCCAGCAGCACTTTTGAGACTGGTATAACTCCCTGAACATGCAAAGCCATGGGTTTGGGAGCCCACGCACCCCTGCTTATCCATGCATGCCACACCTCCCCTCGGTTCACCCTCCAGCAGTGTAAGACACAACCATGTGCCCTGTCAGCACCACAATAGGCCTGACAAACTCATTCATTTGCAAAGGGATTTTATTGCCTCAACAGTGTCAATAATCAGTCACGGCAAATAATTCCTGACTCAAACATATGCGGAAATGGAAAGGGGTTACACACGTTTCCTCGGCAGCATTGATCACCGTTCACATCTCATCCATTTAAATAGCAGCAAATGTCCTTACACATTTTTTTTCCTTTTTTTTTTTTTTTTTCCCCTCAGTTACAGATACACTTTCCAGTGCAGAAAAGCCAAGAGCACACCTGACAGGTAATGCTTGTTCAAAAATTAAGCGTTTCCCACGGGTATTACAGCAGATGTTGCAGTGCAGTAATCTTGGTTTATATGGATCTGATAGGATCAGGTATTGCAGGAAACATGGGGAAAATAATCATCAGTTTTGCCTTGTTGACCACGACAGATTGACTGCAGCCTGCATTTGTAGAAAAGGGCCCACAGAGGAGATAGTTGACAGAAGTGTTGCCACTTTTCTAAGCTGTTTCTTTCATTGAATAAGAAGCTCTTGTAACTGAACTTAAATAGGTGTCTGGTGTCTTACTGATCTGCCGAATCCCCTAGATTTGGGCAGGGTAAAGAGCTCAAGTAAGCCCTTATGGAACTCTGAATTGGGAAGTAACACCAGTTTTGGAGCAAAATCAGGTCAAATAAGATCAGGTTTACACCTTATTTTCCTTCGAGGCCTAACTCAGGCCACGCACACCATATTGCCATCAAATAGCCCCCTGTTTTCAGTGAGATCAACTGTAACACATGTTGGAGCAAGCACAAGATCGGTAATGCCAGCTGAACCCCTCCAAGCCCTTATCTTGCATTCGGAAGGTGCTATTGCAGGGTGGGCTGCCATACTTTCCTGAGGGGCTGCCAGCATTTGCCAGGCCACCGGCCACCATTTCATCACCTCAGCCTTGAAGGTGAAGCTGTCATTACACCAAGGAAACTGTCCTGAGCTCTCCCCCATCCTTGCCAACTCCACCCACCTGGAAAATTTAAGTGTCATCAGAGAAGAGGAAAAAGTTCATGGCTGGTTCCCATGTGGATGGAGTTGAGTGCTGAAAGGCTCTCCCGGTGCTCTGACCTAAGGGAATTTATACCTCTGGAAAACACAGCTCACTGCAAAGGCTCTGTGTTGTCCCAGGAGAGCACTTCAGTAACTTGAAACCTGCAAGAAGTGGTGTGGTGCTTCACACAAATTCACCTACAGGGTTAAATCAATCACTATTTCAGGGCTGATTTCTTTCCCAGCATAGTTTACTTTTCCTACTGAACAGGCTTCTTCCTAATGTGCTTCCTTGGTCCAATCCCCTTTTGCACACAGGTTGCTAGAGCTCCAAAACTGACCTGTCTTTGTTCAAAATCACATCTTTGCTTAAGTGCAAGTTTGCAAGAGCAAAAGGACCATGTCTGCTGGTGTAAATCTCCCTGTTTCCACTGCGTCCCCCCATGACAGGGAGACCCAGAGGCTCCTGGTGGGGCTGACTCAGAAGAGCAGCCAAAGCACCGCTCTGCTGATGGGAACTTCCCTGGATTGCACAAAAGTCCAGTTGCCCCAGGGAAGCACCCAACAGTTTTCTTCAAATTTCCTCAGGCCCCCCATTTGCAAAAACTCCTTCACCATCTCCCTGGGATGGTGCCCATCCTCTTCAACCTGTCATTTCAGGCCAGTCACTTTTGGCCATAGCAAGGAGTGTGAAAAGGAAAAAGTTACAGGGATTTTATCCCTCCTTTTCTGTGCAAAAGGCTACACCCAGGCTGCTGTGCTATATAGTCGTTAGGGAACCTAATTTCCATGAGCTTATCTTTGACCTTTTTTTAGCCCAAGCATATTTTTGGTGCTGTAACCTGTGACAGTGAGTTCCCAAGCTTGACGATGCATCACGGTCAGAAAATATTTCCTCTTATTTTAAATTTTCTGCATAACAATTTCTTGGGTGCCACCCTTGTCTTCTCAGAAACCATGACTCGTGCACAGAAAGTGAAAAAGGAATACTTATTCTTCAGATCTTTGTTATATTCCCCCATCTCAGGTACCCTTTTCAAAGCGAATGTAGTAGACTACAAACTCTCACTAGTAGGAAATCTCTTCCAGATCTCTGAATTCTCTCTGTCTTTTTCTAGTTTTAGGCACATATATTCTAAAGGTGAAATCAGAGGAGTAAGAGGAATGAGAACTAGCCACAGTACTTTCATGGGAATACACCTCTGAATTAACAGTAGCAGAATGACTCGATGTTTTGGTCCCTGTTCCTTTAAGATAAATTTTCCACCTGCTCTTGGCCTTTTTAACACACACTGAGCATTTTAAACTTATCCAAACTGATATAAAGATTTTCTCTCCTAGGGTGGCAATAGCTAGTGAAGAATGGCACAATCCATACGAACACCTATTTAGGACTTTTCTCCATCTCCATCCTCTCCTGTGCACTAATGTGTATCTGGTGCTGACTGTACCATGCCATGACAATACCTCCTCTCTGACTTATTTGGTTGCACTTTGGATCAAGATGCAGACCAATGTCTATTCCTTCTTGTCACCAGCCTGTGGCAGGGCTGGATGAACTATGTTGCAGAAAACCCACCAAGTACCTGGCTTGCACTTACTGTTCTGCAATGCTATCTGGGTGCTCCAGTAAATCTGGGTAGAACATCACTTTCTGGTTCTACATGATTTTTGGAAGTAATGACTTTTTAAGGACAGTTATTAAACTCCCAGGGCATGACGCTGAACAACAGAGACCCTGCAGCCAGAGGAATTTGCTGTATGTGCTGCACAAGGGCTTTACTACAACAGGAGACTCAGACTCTCTTGGTGACACCGGGGTCTGGCCTCAGAGTATAGTGTTCAGGATCAGGCACTCACACCCATGAGGGCTAAGAATTGTAGAAACCCCACGCATTCAGCAGTATGCCACAAAATGACAAAATGTACCCAAAAGCTGCCAAGCAACAGGGCTTCTCCAGAAAGGGACTAAACCAAAAGGGATTTAGGGAAAGAAGTAATTTCACATGTAAGTGATGCCAAAAAATTATAGGGGATGGGAAAGCTGAAGAAACTGTAGCAACGCATTCTTTATTAAAAGCAGATTTTATTTACTTCAAGACTTAGCATAACAGGTATATTTTCAGGAAGTATAACTCCATATATTTATGAAATAAATAAACGACAAGTACAAAGTAGAACTGCTGCTAGAAAAGGAGCCATGCTGTATTCAAAGGCACTTGAACATGACTTTCTCCTCTTGACTAGTACTGAAAACATAGGAAAAATTAATTAACTTGAAAATAGAGAGCATCAATAGAGTGAGCTTTATCCTAAAAAGGGAGGTTATAACTGTAAAACTTAGAATTGCCTAATTTGAGAAGTTATGAAATCATGTACTTCATTTGAGATGTCTGTTATTTATAAAAAACATTGAAGAGTTGAGTGTCATTGACATTTTAAATGCGTCATTCTGCACGGAAAAGAATATTTCACATGCAGCTTCTCTTCAATTTTCCCCCAAAGTTCCCAAGATAGTAAAGAGCCCAGGTCATTTTCTGCAAATGTTCTGATCTTTTCTGATCCTTCCCATCTCAAACAAGATTTCATCTGCTACCAACTGATCTCTGAGAGGTCTAACTCCAAGCTCTTGTAAACCTTAGAGTGACCCAAATGCTACTTTAGTTTATGACAGGACTCAGACCAGTCCCTAGACACCCAAGAGGTAGATGAGGATGAAGTCAGACCATGAGTACTTTCATTTTCTTTTATTCCTCTCTGTATCAGGCAAAGCTCCATTGGCTCTAACCATCATAGTCCTTATAATACTTCTATAATTTAGCCTGGCTTGCTATCACAATCCCTGTCTATTGTTCTCCCACACAGAAATACTCTCCTCATGTACTTTGCCTCCTGTGGAAAAATCAGAGAAAAAAAAAAAAAAAAAAAAAGGCATTATTTTGTTGTGCTACTCAGAGAATATGCAAGAAATTGCACTCCTAACACTTTCTTGTCTCCTTATGGATTATTTATTCCTAGAAAAGAGAGGGAAATGGATGCCACTGAGAGCTAGGCACATTAATTTTTCTGAATCTCATTTCACCCAGGATAAACTTAATGGTTATTGATAAGAGAATTTCAAAGCTTTCCCTTACCTGCATTCCATCTCCCTCCCTGCCCATGCGCACATACCCCTTCCCAAATATTGAATCAAAATCAACTTTAAGCATTAACTCAAGATCGTGAAAAAGGTTTCCTCGAAACCAGTTGCCTCAGTCTTTCTCAATGTTTAACTTTCCAGGTTCATTTTAATACCTGGCAAAATATTAATGGGTTTTATTCTCTTTCTCTTCACTGCCTCAGCTGCTGTTGTACTACAATGATTTTATGTGGCAGTCAGTAAAGAGCAGAGGATACTATTTTGCTTCCCTGCAGAAAAGTGAAAAGTGCTAGGTCTTATTCTCCTGGCTGTTGTGTGAGATAAATTAAAATGGTGGAGAAGAGGCGAAGGGAATAGATCAGCAGTTCCCTGATGTGTCTCAGGTGTCTCAGTGCTTGGTGCTAGATCATGCTCATCATTGTGAAACTTTTGCAAGCACAGTAGTGTCTAAGAAATATAAGTGCAATCCATCACAACTGAAGAAAATGATGCTTTAGTATTTCTTATTACTGTCCCAAACCATTAGGTACAGGCATGGTACCCATGTGTACAGCTGCCCCGGCACTGGTTTCACTTAAGGACAAGGTTTTTACTCTGTAAATATGCAAGATAACGTCCCGGACCTGCAGGATAAAGCCATCTGTATTGCTCTGTAGTGCCAGGAGACTGAGCCTTCAGGAAAGAGTGTCTCATCATTTGGGATCTGGCCCACAACCAGGACACCCAGGAGCAGCACACCCCTTCAGGCAGCCTGTGCTGGCCAAGGTCTTCCAAAAGTATCCTTGGCTTTCACACCTGATTGCTCAGATCTGGACGCCTTATGGGCAACCTCCAAAAATATCACTAGACAGTTGGCCCACAGCCAATTCACCTCAGTTTTCAAGCTGTAAGATAGAAACATTTCTGTCCTGGTATTTTAATTACCCTACTTAAATTTCTTGACCTCTGGAGTAGAGATCTCATGTTACATTCAGCAGCCTGGCTGTAGCAAATTAACCCACCTCTTCTCCCTCTCTCTTCCTCCTGCAGTGAAGAAACAAGGTCCTGCCAACACCATAGGAAACCACCTGCCCATCCTGCAGTGGGAAGACAAGCGAGGCTTGGCCTTTACCAAGAACAACCTGAATTATTCCAGCAACGCACTGGTGATACCTGTGTCTGGGGACTACTATGTCTATGCTCAGGTCACGTTCCGAGGGCCCACTGAAAGTAGCAGTAGAACAAATTCTGTCACTGAGGTCATCACCAAAGTCACCGACAGCTACCCCGAGCCCACCCAGCTGCTGACTGGCACCAAGACCCTCAGTGAAAATGGAAACAGCTGGTTCCAGCCCATTTATCTGGGTGCTGTGGTCTCCTTAGAAGTAGGAGACAAGCTAATGGTCAACGTTAGCGACATCAAGCTGGTGGATTACACTAAGGAGCACAAAACCTTCTTTGGTGCCTTTTTACTGTAAGTCCCTGGCAGCTGTTGGTGGGGGCTTCCCTTCAGGCCCTGGTGTGACCTCGCTGGACCTTGGCTTTGTGGGTGCGCGTTGGGGTGCTATCGTTGTGCTGTTATCCTCCTTCTGTACTGTCACTCCCCTGCAGCTCACTGCAGCCTTAAATTAAGGGGTAGGAAAAGCTGAAGCCGTAGGCTAAATTGAAACAAACCAGAAACAAACCAAAACCAAAAAAAAATATCAAAAACCCACAACAGAAAAAAAGTCAAGTTGGAGAAAAAAATATTTTTGAAAGTAAAAACTGAGAGCTCTTCAAAACTTTGTAAACCAGGGAGGAACAGTTTATACCTGTGGGTAGGAATATTGATCTTGAATATCGCAGCTAGGTTACATCAGTAATTCCACCTCCAATGTAAATTTTCTCAACTCAGAAAAGTGTTTTGAACTCTCTCCAGCTCTTCCAGTATAGTTTTGCCTGACCCTCTTCAGATTCTTGTTTCTAAAAGGTAATTACTTTTCCATCATTTCCTTATGAATAGATTTTCTCAGTACTTTGCACTAACATAAAGCTCAGATTAATCATTAACTACTTAATTATTCCCTTCCAATTTCCCTGTAATGTAGATTAAAATTATATCTTGTATCTTGCAGGAGCTACTTTTTTTTTTTTTTTCCTCAAGAAATTGTTTACAGTTCTTTAAGTCAATATACAGCCTCAAAACTTTATGCAAAATTTCTAAGGAACATGCACAAACACTTTCTGTTTCAGAAAGAAAGTGGAATCTCCCTGCCATGTCCTAACATTAGGAAAACAGAAAAGACAATGCAGAGATAGACATGTAGCAAAATTTTCAAAACTTTTTAAATCAGCCGCTGAATTTTTGAGAGAAAACCTCTGCAATGTTTTGTCTTCCATTATTTTTAATGAAAAGCAAGTGCAACTAAAGAAATCACTGTCTTGATGCTCCCCCTTGAAACCATTGCCAATGCTGCAGTGGTCCCCTAACCGCAAGGGACTCCCTGCCTTTCCCTGGGTGAAGTCTGGCAACCAGTAGTCCCTACACAAGGTCAAAAGATCCAAAGACAAGATCATGGCGTGCCACAGCCAGGTCTGGAGCTCAGGAATGTTTAGCTTCCCACCTTGCACTTATTTATTTTTACAGACCTTACTCTCTCTCAGGAAAATTCCCCAGCTTTTTTCTCCTCCACAGTAAATACACCACTGACAATGACTCAAGTCATGTTCTCGTAGATTTAGACTTTACACTTTTAAATGCCACAAGGTCTCACACCTGAGCACCTACCACCCAGCCGTTCTCCACTGCCAGGCTCCACTCTCTGCAAGTCTTTCTCTTTCCTGACTCACCTCATTGGATTTTCTCTATTTTCCACTTCTTGGCCAGAAGTGACAGCGAGGCTTGATTGCTTAGTTAATGTTGCCACTCAAAGCCATGATGAGGCCCAAACCCACACTGTTAGTGTCAGGGAAGCGCTGTGCTGGGGAATGCGTAGCACTGGGGATGGGGGGTTGTAGCAGAAGATCTCAAATGGGCAGAGAAGTTCCCTGGTGGAGACAGCCCAGGATCATGTGTGATCTTCCAGCCCAACCAGCAGTGAGACAAGGCTGCTTTGTCCACAGCAAGTCTCCTCCTAGCAGGAAACAATTCACTGCTGTGTAAAGATCTGTTTGAGCTGACAGAGCAAAGCCAGCAGCACAGCTGAAGCATAAAGCATAGAGGAAGGCCCAGGCAGACTGGGGTGAAGGAAGGAGGGGAGCAGAGTAAGAGGTGGGAGATCCAGCCAACACCAGAATATCTGCCTCTTCATGGCTTGCTGTAAGCATCTTCATGCTGACAGCATGACTATATCTCTTAAACCTAGCTTTTATGTAGTAAATTGCCTCAGAAAAGAAGGCTTTTTGGCCATCCTTCCCTATTCTGCAGTACCCAGGTCCCATAGTAGGTCTCAGTCATTCACTGTTTTATCTACGCTTAGATAGCATTAAACATGTCACAAAAGATGGAGATTGCCATTTTGCCCTGCCCTTCTTTCCTCAGTGGGTGTCTTTCTTGCTTCCAGATCATCCTTGAGTCTAGTCATGGGGTGTTGGTCCACTGTACAACACTACCCATCTATCAGACCCTGACAATGTCCTGCATCAAAACCTCATTACAGTTTAGCTTTCCATCCTTTCTTTGACTTGTCCTTCATTTTCCCCATATCTATATCTCATCAGTCCTCTGGATCCCTTTGTCCCACAGGCACTTTCCTGCCTTCTTGGCTCTGTCCATTAGATATAAGGACACCTCTTTGTGCAAATCTAATTTTCTACATGCAACTTGTCTCTTACAATCACCCCAGTAACACAGAGAAAAGTGACATCTGAAAATAGGTTAGGTAGAAAGTATAATGGTAGAAAGTAAAGGTAATGATCCTACTAGCAGGTGCAAACACTCTTGGCCAAAACATCCTCTTATGTCTTTATTAGTTAGATTCGCTTCCATCTTTACGTCCTTACTCCTGTGTTTCCTCCACCTGCTCATCCTTTTCTTTTAAGCTGAAACTGGCTGAGACAGAAGCAGTTATCCCTGATGTACCCAATCAGTACCTGGCACGTGTGACCTGGACTCATTACTTCTCAGAAAGGGTGTCTTGGTCATCACCTCGGCAGGGCTGTTCTTACTGCTCAGAAACCCCCACACCATGGTAAAATCTGCTGAAATCTCACTTTCCTGGCAGTTCAAGACAAGGTGAATCTCTGGGAAACCCTGAGACTTTCCATATCTCAGATTTTCTAAAGTGTTCTCTCAACTCTTACACTGAGCCCTTCTGATCTTCTGATCCCTTAGTTGTGTGCCCAAAATAGGATCTGAACTCATGAAAACATGAAATTTGCAGCTCTTGCAGACCACCACGTAAAGCAATTTAGGTGACTAGCACACCAAACATCATGGTAAATATCATAAAGGGAAGACTTAAAAGTGATCTGTCCAGGACAGGTGATTCTCAACAACTAGGTAGGAAAACTTCTGTGAAGTATTATATAGGATAAATTTGGTTTATCATTGGAGCAAATTGGAGTGAAAATTCTAGGTGTTGTGAGACCGTTACAGAGATTCAGGAAGCTCTTTATTTCTACAGATGAGATGATGTAGCATTCTTCTGAGGCCATAACACGATCCTGATAGGTTTGTACAGTAGATTTACATAATAATTATATCTGAAGTCATTGTCGCTTAGTGCCCGGTGCGCTGAATGATGGTGAATATGAGGTCTGGCTGAGAGGAGTGGTGAATGCAGTATTTGGCATACAATGAAAGCACCTCTATGGGACATGTACACATATATACATAGACATACACATATTTGTGTATATTCCATAGAAGCTCTAGCAAACCCATTGGCAGTAATAAGCCATTTCTACCACAAGGCACATAATTTGTGTCCATGGTACACTAACAATAAATTTCACAAGTAAAATATTGCATACTGCAGCTCCATTACAATCGTGACCCTTTTGATCCATTATCCATGGCACAAAAATATTTATTTTAGTCCCGTTAGAACAAGCTTTTGCACCCCACTGCACACACAAGTTTATAGCACATTTAGCACACTAGCACATTTTATATGACGTAAAGTAATATATCTGGCATTACTTGTTTTAAAGTGGTGCAGGCATATTAATCCACACATCTACCCTAGTGGAAATTCTTTCTGCCTCCCCCCCCCCCAGTGCTAATAATGTTTCTGTAACAGTGATCAGCAAATATATTAAATATACAGGGCTGATTCTGACCTTACTGTATATAAGATATTCCTCCACAGAAGGCAATGGCATGAAGTCAGAGTAAAGCCACTTAAGTGAGACAGAGGTCAAGCTTAGAGGGAAATATCTCAAACAGACTGAACCCACGTTGTGGATTCTCATATTTTTCCAAAGCTAAATAAGGACAGAAGTGTTCTCAGAAATTTTTGTTTACTGAAGTAGAAATATTTCTTTAACGTAAATCATTTCTAGAGATGTGAAAATGCATATGCATCAGTATTTTCAATTGAATGAGAAGATGATTAAATCTGGTCACAGGAACAAGTGACCTTTCAGTCTGTGGTCAAACTGAAAATATGTTTTGTTTTGGGTGGATGTGAAACTAAAACAGTTATAAGAAAAAAATCCAATCTGGAGAAAAAGGATGAAATAGGCAGGTCATGCTAAATGAGTTTAAAGTATATGATTTCGGATTTTAACCCTTATATTTCTCAGGAAAATAAATAAATGAACACTTTTCAGAACAAAACCACTGAAAGAAAAAAACCCTTGTTTTTAATATGAAGTCTGATCAAAATATTTTAGTTCTTAGGAATTCTCTTCTTCCCTAATCTCTTTGATCCCTCCAAAACTAACACTAAATATAACCCATATTAATAAAAAAGCTTACTTACCTACTGCTTCCTTTCCCCTTAGAAATTAAATATTGGTAAATAAGCATTAACTTTCTCTCCGTATACATACAGAAGTAAATTTAAATCAAGTTATAAGGATCACAGCTCCAATCTTGCCAGCATATACTTATGCTGTACTTAGTCCTGAGCATGTGGCTGAAGGGGCATCATTGTAAAACCAAGCTCAGTTTTCCTCTTCGGTGTACGGGAGGAGTAAAATTCACATTGCTCAAATTAAAAGCAGATAAAATGTTTTACCTGCATTTACCCTCAGCTACATCATTACAGGGGCAACCCTCCAAATCAAGGAGCACTTACATGGACCATCTCCAGCACACGTATGTTGGCAGGATTAGGGTCTAGATGTGTGAAGCTGAAGGTCAGGTTCCTTAGCAAATCATAACCCAAACAATGAAAAGGATGCTGCCGAGGCCGTTTTGGACATAACCGTTCAGTGGATATTAGGATGAGCAGATCCCTGGTACAAGGGACACGACCAGGCTACACTGAACTACAGCTCAGACCAAGCAGAAAGGATTAAGGTATTCACTTGCGATTTTCAACACAGGTATTTCAGAAATTTGAAGGACTCTCATTTTTCACCTCTGTATGTTATAACTGAATACACTGTGCTTTGTTTATTAATCTCCTGAGTGGCCCATCATTTCAGATGAGAAATGAGGAGAAAATTCATTCTTTAGAAGAATCAGAAAATGTGAAGAATTTTTGCCCAGATCTGGGTATTAGACACCAGTATAGCATTTTGCTATTGTAAAGA